ATGAAACAAAAGTCCCAAAGGTTCAAACCACTCCCCGAAATGTTAATTCATCAGGGTCATTGGGGAACTCTGATCAACTCCCCTATAGAAATATCAAGTAAAACATTTTTATGAAAATATTTTTTACATATACAACATTATCTTACAAAAAGAATTACTATCCAATCAATTTATAAAGTTCTAAAAGGGAGGAAAGGAAAATGAATGACTACCTAAATAGAAAAATCATTTTTAGAAAATATTGATTAGTATCTAAGAATCCTAAATTAGACTTCTTTAAAATTAAACACTTGAAAGCATAGGTATAAGTGGATTTTTTCTTAAAATGATAAGAAGCATATACATAAAATCATTCAGCAAGCATTATTTATAATGGGGATAAGCAAGAAGCCTTCCCAATAAGATTAGGAGTGAAACAAGGATGACTAAAATCACCAATATTATTCAATACTGTATCAGAAATGCTAGCAATAGTGATAAGAGAAGAAAAAAATGGAAGGTATCAGAATGGGTGGTAAGGTAATAAAACTATCTCTTTTTGCAGACAATATGATGGTATATTTGGAAAACTATAGAGATTCAAATAAAAAGTTAGTTGAAACAATAATTTAAGTAGAAGGATATACAATAAACCCACAAAAATCATTAGTATTTCTATATACCACCAACAAAGCACTACAAGAAGAGATGGTTAAGATAGATTTTATTTAAAATAACCATAGACAGTATAAAATACCTGGGAGTACACTAGCCAAGAAAAACCCAGAACTATAAGAACATAATTATAAAACACTTTTTATACAAATAAAGTCAGATTTAAATAATTGGAGATATATTCATTGTTCATAGGTGGGCAGAGGAAAATATACTAAAACTGACAATTCTACCTTGAACTAATCTACTTATATAGTATTCAGCCATCCCAATAAAATTACCAGAAAATTATTTTATTGAGCTAGGAAAAAAAAACCCAACAAAATTCATTTCGAAGAATATCTTAAGAACTAATGAAAAAAAATGTAAAGGAAGGAAGCCTAGCAGTACCAGATTTTAAATTGTATTAGAGGTCAGTAATTATCAAAACTATCTGGTACTAAGAAATAGAATAGCAGATCAGTAGAACAGAGTAGATATACAATACACAGTAGTAAATGATTATAGCAATCTTGTGTCTGATAAATATAAAGATTTAGATAAGAATTCACTATTTGGTAAAAATAGTTGGGAAAACTGAAAAGCAGTCTGGTAGAAACTAGGCTTTGACTGTTACTTTACACTATTTACCAAGATAAGGTCAAAATGGATACATGACCTAAACATAAGAATTTTCATAAGAAAATTAAAAGAACATAGAACATATTACCAACCAGATTTATGGATAGGAATAAATCTTGTTTATTTGTGAATAAACAAGAGATAGAGAATATTTTGGGATATGAAATGGATAATTTTGATTACATTAAATTAAAAAGGTGTTATACAAACAAAACCGTTGTAGCCAAAACTAGAAGGAAAGCAGAAAATTGGTGGAAAAAAAATTTTATATAAAGTTTCTCAGATAAAGGCCTCATCTCAAATACAGAGAACTGTCAAATTCATAAAAATATGAGCCATTTCCCAGTTGATAAATGGTCAAAGGATATGAACAGGCAGTTTTGGGAAGAAGAAATTAAAGCTACATACAGTCATATAAAAAAATGCTCTAAATAATTACTGACTAGAGAAATACAAATTAAAACAACTCTAAGCTACCATCTCATATCTATCAGATTAACTGAAATGAAAAAAGGGGAAAATGACAAATGTTTGAAGAGATATGGAAAAATTGGAACACTAATATGCTGTTGGTGGAACTGTGAATTGATCCAACCATTTTGGAGAGCAATCTGGAATCGTGCCCAAAGATTTATAAAACTGTATATACCCTTTCACCTAGCAATACCATCATTACGTCTATTTCGCAAGGCGATCCAGGAACTAAGCCTTCAAATCACTTCCCAGCCACTTTCCCTTACCACTCCCCACCTTTTCAAGCTTCCTTTGGGCATGTTTTCCTCTGTGCTTAGAATGTAAGCCACTTGAGGGTAAAGCCTGTCTTTCTTATATTTGTATCACATGGTAAGAAAGGCATTAAGAAGGAAAACTTAATAGTACAATGATTGCTTGAATATGGAGACAAGGGAGTAAAAGGAGTCCACCCTAAAGCTCCTAGCTTGCATGACTAGGAGAATGATAACAGAAACAACACTACCACCCTGGAGTTGTGTGATTTTTTATGGTTTTCTTAATGCTTTTATATATGTTCAGTTTTTTGATGCTTACTACAAGGGCTATCTTCTCCCATATGATATTCCTAAGAAGCGGTTACCTGGCCTCTTTTTAAACACTTCCAGTGAGGAGGAAGACTTTATGTTCTCAAATATTTATAGCAGCTCTCTTTGTGGTGCCAAAGAACTGAAATTGAGGGGAAGGTCATCAACTGGAGAATGGTTGAATAAGTTGCGATACATGATTGTGACAGAATATTACAGTGCTATAAGAAATGATGAGTAGGTTGATTTTAGAAAAAAGACGGGGAGACTTGTATGAAATAACAAACAGTAAAAACCAAGAGATCATATACATTAACAGCAATATTGTTCAAAAAGTTAACTGTGAATAACTAAACTATTCTGAGTCATATGAATAGTCAAATCAACTACAAAGGACCTATGAAGGAAGATGCTATCCACCTCAAACACTGGTCTTCTGTAGTGCAGAACGGATGGGAGAGAGAGAGGGAAACAGCTCAGAACTCAAAATGTAACAAATAAATAAATATTTTTTAAAATTATATTAATTAAGTTGGTACTTGTCAACAACAATGAAAAATAAATCTCTGGCTTCATTTATTGCAATGTCTGAATATGACAAATACTGAAATGTGACTAATTTTACATAAATCTCACAGTTCACATTCTATCAACAATACACAATACACACAGCTATTACACATATATATGCACATACATTTGCATATACATGCACATACACACAAAATGTAATTGGTCACTGAAAGAGATGAAAAGGAAACTCAATCATTTGGTAATCTTACAGAACAGGAAATTGAGTCCCAGAAAACGGACCTGCTTAAGTTAAGTGACAGATAGAGCTAGAAAACCCAGGTTTCCTGACCTCCTAAAAATCAAGTGCTCTACAAAACAAATGAGTAATAATGATATGTGATTATTACTGAGAACAAAATATCATCCTCACATTTAACATTTCTTCAGTTTACAGAGTGCATTCTGCACAATATCCAATGATGTGGGTAGCACACTTATATCATCCCCATTTTCCAGATGAAGAAAGTGAGAATCTCAAGAAAGATTCTATGTCTTGCTCTTATAACATTAGTTATTGTTTTATAATAATTGTTTTGAGTTATAAAATCAAACCTTGAAGAAGATTCAAAGAATATTAATCCCTATTCATTATTAGCAGCTACTATGTCAGGCAGAATGGCAACTTTATAGATACTATACATAATTAATTTGCCATTTCAAATCTTTCTCATTATAATATATTTCAGAAACTCTTCAAAACCAATAAGGCAGTTTTATCTATTTATAAAACTAGATAGGATTCTTCTGGTACTGGTTTTTTGGTTTCTTTGTTTTTTAGTTCAAAACCTGTGTCAAGCATATTTTATATAAATAAAGAAAAAAATTTTAAAGGACTTAATAATTTCAAATATTAAACTGTAACAGTATTCTCTAAGGTCGCAAGGCAAACCAGCATCAAAAGAATGAAGATTTCTATTCTTAAAAATTCTAAGTTCAACTAAAAGAATCTATCTACCTCCAGAGAAAGAACTGATATATGGAAGTACATTATGTATTGTGTGGTTTCATGGGTGTGTGTGTGTGTGTGTGTGTGTGTGTGTGTGTGTGTGTGTGTGTGTGTGTGAGAAATGTTGGCCTTCTCTTATGCGAGGTTGGGAGTATAAGCTTCACTTTTCATGGTCTGGTGATCACAAAGGTCAAAAAGCTGCTTATATGAAATCACTGAATGTCAACTATTAAGAAAAAGTAACCAAAAGGTTAAAAATATTCTTAGGGGTTTGAACAGCTACATGACATCCTGGTCCGTCCAAGTGGATATAAACCAGAACAAACCATTAAATGTGCCCGGAAGGTATAGATAATGTTGCAGCCAGCTAAAAAATAAAAAGGGGGGAGGGGGAGAGGCGGGGTTTAGCTTCCAAAGCTTCTGTAATCCTTGAGGTCAACTTTGAAAAAGATATTGGTTGAGGAACAAACCCAAGGCCACCCTGGAAGGTCAAGACAAAATTTAAACTGGATCTTTCTTTGAATCACTCTGAGTAAGTCCCTTTCTGATACAGAGTTGATGCACTTGGACCCTGCTGGAACTTCATTCTCCCAAACTACTGACCTACATATACCCTGGCATATGGTTGACTTAGGGACCTAGGGGTCTTTGGGAGCTGACTTTTTTTTTTGGGGGGGGGGGTTTGAGGTGATCAGGGTTAAGCGACTTGCCCAGGGTCACACCTAATAAGTGTTAAGTGTCTGAGACTGGATTTGAGCTCAGGTCCTCCTGACTCGAAGGCCAGAGCTCTATTCACTGCACCACCTAGCTCCCCTGGGAGCTGCCTTTTATAAACACCAGGACAAATATATTACTTACCTTTTGAGATATTTTCAGTTACAAGAATCACCTATGTATTCAACACTTTTGGCATCCAAGGTTATCACTTCATAGTCTCTACTACTTTGTAAGAGCACAGATCAGCTCTATCTAGCAAAAATTGAATAACCACTTACAGATATCACACAACAATTTCACCATCTACTCATACACTTTGTAATATGTACAACTATTTTACATGACATCAACAAGACTAGCTTTTCAAATTTTTATTTTGTGCAAAGTAAAATTATAAAGTTTAGATTGAGAAAGGCAATATCTCATTAACAGATGATTTTGAAAATATTTACCTTGATCAAATATTTTTCCCATCTGTCTGCTGTTACAGATTTACCAATCTTCCTCATCAGTTTCAAATGGAGCTCCACCAATTCTTTTGGTACTTTAAAGAGAGGAAAGAGAACACACAAAAAAAGTTAGCTTACATTAACTATTTCATATATAATTAAGATAAAACAAAGCATTTGGAAACAATTTCTTAAAAATAGAGAAATGTTTAACAAAACATACCATGATTTAAATCCTGTAAGTTACATGATACAAAATGAGTCACCTCTTTACCTATCCTAAGGATTTTAAGTAAGTTATACCAATTTGAAGTCATAGTCCAGTAAGGGTCCTCCTTCCACCAGAAGTTCAAGAAAGGCTGATCTAAGCTAAACAAGGAAACAGTTCTATAGCCTATCTAGAGTGAATTCCCTATTACTGGAAGTGTTTAAAAAGAGGCCAGACAACCACTTATCAGGAATATCATAGAAGGAATTTGTGCTTTGGAGAATCATGGGAAAAGATGACCCTTGTAGTAAGCAACAAAAAACTGAACATATATAAAAGCATTAAGAAAACCATAAAAAATCACACAACTCCAGGGTGGTAGTGTTGTTTTTGTTATCACTCTCCTAGTCACACAAGCGAGGAGCTTTAGGGTGGACTGACTCCTTTTACTCCCTTGTCTCCATATTCAAGCGATCATTGTATTATCAAGTTTTCCTTCTTAATGCTTTTCTTACCATGTCATACAAATATAAGAAAGACAAGCCCTGCCCTCAAGTGGCTTACATTCTAAGCACAGAAGAAAACATGCCAACGGAAGCTTGAAAAGATGGGGAGTAGTAGGAGAAAGTGGCTGGGAAGTGGTTTGAAGGTTTGTTTCCTAGTAAGAGAAAGTAAAAGATCACCTATCAGAGCCTGGCATCTTAAAGGCAGAGTCCATTACCACTGCAATTGACCTAGCACAGGTCCTTATTTCTTCAAGACATAACTATTACAAAAGTCTCCTAAATAATCTCCTGGCTTCCTCTACCCTTCTCCTTCCAATTCATCCTGCACATGGAGGCAGTTCAAAATCCATCAAATATTTGCTTTTATCCTGTTACTCTTCTAATTCCCTCTTGAAAACTTCAATTGCTTCTCAATGTCTACAAAATTAACAAAACATTTTCAATTATCATCTTAATTCCTTTTTCTAATATCTCACAAGTATTACTATCTGGGATTTGAAATAGTCTAACCTTTCCTGTTACTTATCATTGCTCTCATACGTGAAATCTCCTTGTTTTTGTCAAGTAGGTCTCTTCATCCTACCCTGAACACCACTTTCCCTCTTTCTTCCCTCTACTTCCCTTATTACGCCCTATCTTATTTCTGAAGTTCATTCATCCTTCAAAGGCTACTCAGCTGCCACATTCTCCATGAAAGTTTTTCTAGAAACTGCCTCTCTGAATATTAATGATGAATATTAATAACTGAGAGGTTTTTTTCCCTCAGATTTACGTAGTGGTTTATGCAATCACATTTGTTCCTCACAATAATCTTGTGCATACTACAGTTGTTACTGTTCCCATTTTACATCTTGGGAGCCTAATGGTCACACAACTGAATCTGAATTCAAGTTTCCTAAGTCCAGCACTACATCACACTGCTATACACTGCGAGCACTTCCTCATTTGAACTATAATAGCATTTATTGTCTGTGCCATTCAAGATGAATTGGACACTTACTGATTTACATTGGTAGAGCAACAGCAACATGGTATAAACAGACAGCTACATTTGACGGCAGGAAGATCTGGGGTTTAGATTCTGCCTCTAACCTGCACTGGCTACATGACGATGGGCACAGCCTTCCAGTTTCCCTGTCAACTCACTAAGATTCTAAGTTACAAGTGAGTTGCTGATCTGAACCTGAGAAGTATATTTCCATTCGTGAAGCTCTCCATACAGACAAAGGACAAGTCAGACTCCCAGAATATAGTTATTTTATTTTGTGTAAGTGGCTTATTTTCAATGGAAATACAAAATTATCAGAAATTTTGAAGTCCTTAGATTTGAGGGAAGGCAATTTGGGGAAAAAAGTTAATTTTGATTTAACAGTTATTTTTTATAAGCATGAAGTCACTTTATAATGTTTAAAAACAAAATATATTCTAAATTGCTATGTCCATAAAGGTATCATATTTGAAATTTTTAATGTAAAAATTTATTCAAAGTCTTATAAATTTACTTTCACCTTTCTGCATCTTATTTTCTTCATGTGCAAAATGAAGGGATTGTACTAAATAATTTCTAAAGTCTCTCCCAACTCTAGATCCTATGATTCTAATGGTAATATTTACTGACAATTTACTTTTAAATATTTTTAATTTTTGTTACAAATACTTTAGAAATCCAAGATCTTTTTGCCAATGCATGAATAGCAGACAAAAAAATTAAATAAAAGAAACTACAGACAATATAGTACAACTTCATATCCATAGCAGAGTCAAGAAGATTCAGAAAACACTCATTTTTTGAAGTTGCTGCAGGTTAAAAAACAAACAAAACCAAATGCAATGAATATATCTTCTGACACAGGAGTCTTTCTAAGTTTCATTTTTTGAGCTCCCATTATCAGCACTTCTGATTCTTGAGGCATTTCATCTTTTAAAATCATTTTACCTTTAGAAGACCAAAAGTTTGCCCAGATTGAGCCACCCTTCTCTCATCTTTCATAAGATTTGTTCCTTGATTTAGTATAAGTATTTCTGAATGCGGGTTTATGGTAAAGGTTAGAGAAGATAAAAGTACAAATAGCAAGCAAGAAGCAGTGAATCAAGTCTGTGTCACAGAAAGTCTTCCCAATCATGTCACTGAAGGAAGTTTGTTAGAACCCCACACTGCATTTATGGGCAAACACCTGAAACCTTCTTACTCTGTTTCCCTGAAGAGTTATTTTCTTATGGCAGTTCTAAGTATGCTGAAGGTTTTATAATCCATTCAATTCAACAGATAGACTTTTCTTATCACCAAATAAATTTTGGATTTTAAGTAATAGCTATTAAACTGCTTAACTTTCAGCTGATTCAATGCAATGCTCTAAGTTACCCCATCAAGATCTTTTTTTATTACTCTCAAGTATCAGTAAGTTGGGCATTCCTCCCACCTTTGTGGTAGCTAGGTGGCCCAGTGGACGGTGAACTGAATCTGGAGTCAGGAAGACCTAGATTTAAATACAGCCTCAATTATTGATTAGTTATATAACCCTAGTTAGGTCACTTAGCCTCTGTCTGCTTCAGACTCTTCATCTGTAAAATGGGGATAACAACAGCACCTACTTCATACTGTTCTCAGGCTCAAATGAAAGAATATTAGAAAAGTGCTTTGCAAACCTTAAAATGCTATAAAAATTCTAGCCTAGTTATTATTATTGTCTTCTGCAATTCTGACAAATATACCACCTATGTTTGACAAAGTTACTGATACAGGGCAAACTGCAGATCCACATACACTCCACTAGAAACCTCTTTTGACTTGGGGCTAGTAATAACTATTTTAATCCACCTAACTGTCCTAGGTGCCTAGCTCACCACATTCCTTCAACTTCCAGTCTAGTAGCTCTGTCTAAAAAAGAAACATGACTATATCTATTATTAATGATTCTATGTTCTCTGTAATCATGGCTACCTTTTCTAGATGTTCACTAACCACTCCAATATACTCTAGGATTTTGCCAAGACTTTAAGTCAAGCTCACTGGCTTGAAGAGGCCATTCCTTTCCTGTTTGTTTTTAACTGGCAACAGCATAAGACAGTGGAAAGAACCTTGGACTTACAGTGAGAAAAAAAAATATGTTCCATAGTTCCTTAAGCAGGTCAATTAACCCAGGGCCTAAGTTATTCATTTATAAAATGAAGGCCAGGACTAAATTGTCTCTAAGCTATCTTCTAGCTTTTATTCTCCAATCCTAAAGTATCTCTCCTAGTTCCATGAAATTTCAAAGATCACAGCTGGTGGCTTCAGTAATCCTATCAATGCTATCAGTAGTAAGGATCCAGATAACTTAAATTCCAAGGGAAGCCAGATATTCTCTTACTAACTCCTTACTTCTTCTGGGTATACCTCCCTATTTACCATTTTTGTTCTGTCCTTTCTAGTCTGGAGATCATTCTTTTTTGTGAAGAAAATTGAAGCAGAGACTTGAACAGCTTTGCCTTCTCTCTCTAATGTGTTACCATTGTATGAGCTAAAGCATCCATCTCCCATCTTTGATCATTCTCCTTTTCCTCAATATGATTTTTAAAACAATCTTTTTGTTGGCTTTGCTTTCATTCTGATAACACACAGGGGTGGGGAACGTGCAGCCTTGAGGCCACATGTGGCCTTGTAGGTCCTTGCATGCGGCCTTTTGACTCAGTCCAAGTTTTACAGAACAAATACATTTATTAAGGGGATTTGTTCTGTGAAGTATGGATTCAGTCAAAGGGCTACACTTGAGCACCTAGATGGCCACATGAGGCCACAGGTTCCCCACCCCTGGTATATACCTATGTATTTCACATTGCTTTAATGAAAGGAGGAATGTATGTTTTGTCATCATTTTACCAGGAACTCAGCTCAACTGCCTTTTGTTGGTGTTTTCATTTACATTTTGGTTCTGCTTATGCCATCCTATGTCAATTCACAAAAAGTCCTGACACTCCTTACAGAATTGTGACATTTTTACATTTTATACTTAGGATTATGCATTTATCTTCCACTATGAACCACTGCTTCCATCTTCTGTACATAATTCTTGAAGACCAGTCAAGATTGTAGAAGAGGAAGCAGTATAGTTCCAGACTAAGTAGTAATTAGAAATCTAAGGAGAAACAAAGGTAGATCATCTTTCCAGCAAAAGATCACAAATCCAAGCCACAGGGAAGTGACAAGAGCAAGAACTTTATAAAAGAGGTGGTCCAGGACAGACGACCCAGATCAAAAGAATAGACCAGAAATGCAGTGTTGTAGCTCTGATCTCAAAGAGGGCATCTAGGACTCAGCCTCTTGGCATAGTCATTCAACACAGGAGAAGGATCCTGCAGCTACACTTCAGGAGCAAAACAGGGCCATGGGACTTCTGCTGAC